GCCCAATGTTGGTTAAGTGAAGAAATGTCTAATGTTGGTTAAGTGTGGAAATGTCCTATGCTGGTTAAGTGTGGAAATGTCCAATGTTGGTTAAGTGAAGAAATGTCTAATGTTGGTTAAGTGAAGAAATGTCTAATGTTGGTTAAGTGCGGAAATGTCTGATGTTGGTTTAGTGTGGAAATGTCCAATGTTGGTTAAGTGTGGAAATGTCCAATGTTGGTTAAGTGTGGAAATGTCCAATGTTGGTTAAGTGTACAAATGTCCAATGTTGGTTAAGTGTGGAAATGTCCAATGTTGGTTAAGTGTACAAATGTCCAATGTTGGTTAAGTGTGGAAATGTCCAATGTTGGTTAAGTGTGGAAATGTCCAATGTTGGTTAAGTGTGGAAATGTCTGATGTTGGTTAAGTGTGGAAATGTCCAATGTTGGTTAAGTGTGGAAATGTCCAATGTTGGTTAAGTGAAGAAATGTCTAATGTTGGTTAAGTGTAGAAATATCCAATGTTGGTTAAGTGTGGAAATGTCCAATGTTGGTTAAGTGTGGAAATGTCCTATGTTGGTTAAGTGAAGAAATGTCTAATGTTGGTTAAGTGTGGAAATGTCCAATGTTGGTTAAGTGAAGAAATGTCCAATGTTGGTTAAGTGTGTAAATGTCCAATGTTGGTTAAGTGTGGAAATGTCCAATGTTGGTTAAGTGTGGAAATATCCAATGTTGGTTAAGTGTAGAAATGTCCAATGTTGAATAATTGTCACACTTCAATATTGATTAAGTGTCAGGGTATGATTTTAAAATTCCCGCTGTAAATATATCGATTTAGTGTCCAATGTAAGTAAATTGTCAAAATGTTCAATGTTGCGTTCATGCTTAAGTGTCCAATATTGATGAAGTGACAAGGTATCTGGTATTGAATGCCAACAAACTACTGAAACATGACTTCCTGTAAATCTACTGTTTTAAACATCATCCTTCCTTCGCTTAGCAGTAATATTCACAATGCTCGTTTGTTTTACAGAATACCAAATGTTTATCAATGGAATTCAATTTCAGACGCTGCCGATAGATTTTCTGATACAACTATACTTTATGTGCGAATGAATAATTTGTACATTGCAACATTTTAACGATCACTGGGCTGTGTCTAGAACAGTCTGTTGTAAAACATGTCAATACATAAAAATCAAGCAATTTCCTGCATACAACAAATTATTTTCAAACAGAAAAAATGTATTGACTGAATTGCATTATTAGCGTGTCATAGAAGATATTAAAGTTCAGTTTGGTAGTGAGGGTTTTATCAGTAGAAGGTGACAGACAGTGATACACCGGTATTGCACACATCAATACATACCTTCATCATGAGATGTTATAAACGTATCAGACGACTAGGTCAGAATAGGCAGACTGTTTGGAAGATGTTTTAACAGTATGGTGTTGTTATGACGTCACATCAACACCCGAACATTTCCGACTGTAGATGAGAACTTGTAATTTGTAATCTATCCACTGACTAACCTACTTCAATGTTTGGTAGATCTGCGATGCTTTCTTGAATAGCTACAGTTTAATGGTGGTAACTAGAATTCGTTTTCTGTGAAATGTGATTAAACACCATGTTAGGAAACGTCTGAGAAATCCAGGAAATCTTCCAGCTTTGTTGAGATGACGGAAGGAAATCGACCTTAATTGTTCTCATGTCGTCTTCTCACTTATCGTAGCGTATTTAGCTTTCTAAGATACGACCTTGATACCAGTCTGTATAAAGCATGGCTATATCCTGTTTCTATATATAGGATCTTACACGATGCTAGCATTTCTATTTTTAATCAAGAGGCGATCACGTAAGATCGACAGCCCTAGCCAACCAAGGTGTTGCGATCTCATAAATAGACTCTATGTGGATCTTTATTCCCCCGACTTTCTTGTGTCACCACCCACCCCTCCAAAATTTCTGTTGGTTGTTTACAAGACGATATAACTTTGAATGTAAAAAACTCCTCATTGCGCTCTTAAACTTTATTTTCTAATTCAAATTTAAAGTTATTTGTATAAGATATATCTTGAGCAGGGAAATAAATTTTTAAATCTATTATCATATGCGGTAGTTATCATTATCATAATTCAGACGTTTACACCATCAAGGACAAACCCCCATCTAAAACATTGATATCATGCTGTATATAAAAGGTAAGACGACGACATCAAACTGTATAGACCGACATCAAGGACTTGTGTAGTAATGATGTAACTACGCACCATTAACAGTCTACACAGACATCCTGTGGAGCTGTGCAATCCATTATAATTTGACAGAAGATTTCATATCGAACAGAGAGCGAAGACAACAGCTAAAGGAATACTTTAATCTCGCTTGTAATCACGGGGCCTGAAGGAGATCGCCTTGCCACACTCCTGTGAATACGGTTTTATAATCGGGGCGTAATACAGAGCTGTATCGTGGGTCATAATTGTTAATAAATCTCTGAAACCAAATGGCTGGAGGCCAACGTTGTAGTGACCTTCCGTGACCTTAGACGGATAGCAGATTATGTCAAAAGGAATTGCGCTGGTGTTAAGAGGCGTCAACAGAAAAAGAAAATGTCCGAACAGGGCCATTTTTCGTAGTTTGGGTTCCTTTGTTACATATTCAAAATGACTAGTGTTTGAACAATGTTTACTATCGAAAACCTTCATACACGTGTTTTGCTAAATGTGATTGGACATATTGAACTCATTAAATTGTAAAAGTAAAGTCGACCATCATCCTGAACATGTGTACAACATATACCATCTCTGTGTACATTGTGATACAGAACCAATGCTATATAAGAAAATCTGTTTACTGTTTTTTGTACTCTTTTATCTATGTTTAGTGTCCTAGTCTGAATTACAGTCTGAGGTCGGATCACAATCGTCGTCTTTTAAGTACCTCACAATATATGCACTAGTAAAAGGTATGTTTTGGAAATAACCATGTTGCTTACTTGTATGAATAATTAAAAAGAGATGTTTGAAATTTGTTCAGAGTTGAAATCATAATACAATTAAGATATATTGTGCTTGTATTATGTTTGTTTTCATCGATCCATGTGTTTATAAAGCAATCGTTAAACTGAAGTGTTGACTGATAACATAACTTTACATATCGATCTCCATTATCGTTATTCTGTTTCATCTCTGGTCGTTGGAATTGCTATCTCAATTTGAATATATTTTGAATATGGTTTATATGAAGAACTTAAGTTACCCAAACCGATACAAACTGTAGGTGGGTGTCATTTACTCACAGCGATACAAACTGTGCGTGGGTGTCATTTACTCACAGCGATACAAACTTTATGTGTGTGTCATTTACCCACAGCGATACAAACTGTACATGGGTGTCATTTACTCACAGCGATACAAACTGATCTTTGTGTGTCATTTACTCACAGCGATACAAACTGTACGTGGGTGTCATTTACTCACAGCGATACAAACTTTATGTGTGTGTCATTTACCCACAGCGATACAAACTGTACATGGGTGTCATTTACTCACAGCGATACAAACTGATCTTTGTGTGTCATTTACCCACAGCGATACAAACTGTACATGGGTGTCATTTACTCACAGCGATACAAACTGATCTTTGTGTGTCATTTACTCATTTACTCACAGCGATACAAACTTTATGTGTGTGTCATTTACCCACAGCGATACAAACTGTACATGGGTGTCATTTACTCACAGCGATACAAACTGATCTTTGTGTGTCATTTACCCACAGCGATACAAACTGTACATGGGTGTCATTTACCCACAGCGATACAAACTGATCTTTGTGTGTCATTTACCCACAGCGATACAAACTGTACGTGGCTGTCATTTACCCACAGCGATACAAACTGACCTTTGTGTGTCATTTACTCACAGCGATACAAACTGTACGTGGGTGTCATTTACCCACAGCGATACAAACTGTACGTGTGTGCCATTTACCCACAGAGATACAAACTGTACGTGGGTGTCATTTACCCACAACGATACAAACTGTCCGTGTGTGTCATTTACTCACAGCGATACAAACTTTATGTGTGTGTCATTTACCCACAGCGATACAAACTGTACGTGGGTGTCATTTACCCACAGCGATACAAACTGTACGTGGGTGTCATTTACTCACAGCGATACAAACTTTATGTGTGTGTCATTTACCCACAGCGATACAAACTGACATTTGTGTCATTTACCCACAGCGATATAAACTGTACGTGGGTGTCATTTACCCACAGCGATACAAACTGTACGTGGGTGTCATTTACCCACAGCGATACAAACTGTGCGTGGGTGTCATTTACCCACAGCGATATAAACTGTGCGTGGGTGTCATTTACCCACAGCGATATAAACTGTACGTGGGTGTCATTTACCCACAGCGATACAAACTGACCTTTGTGTGTCATTTACTCACAGCGATACAAACTGTACGTGGGTGTCATTTACCCACAGCGATACAAACTGTACGTGTGTGCCATTTACCCACAGAGATACAAACTGTACGTGGGTGTCATTTACCCACAACGATACAAACTGTCCGTGTGTGTTATTTACCCACAGCGATACAAACTGTACGTGGGTGTCATTTACCCACAGCGATATAAACTGTACGTGGGTGTCATTTACCCACTGCGATACTAACTGAACGTGGGTGTCATTTACCCACAGCGATACAAACTGTACGTGGGTGTCATTTACTCACAGCGATACAAACTTTATGTGTGTGTCATTTACCCACAGCGATACAAACTGACATTTGTGTCATTTACCCACAGCGATATAAACTGTGCGTGGGTGTCATTTACCCACAGCGATACAAACTTTATGTGTGTGTCATTTACCCACAGCGATACAAACTGTGCGTGGGTGTCATTTACCCACAGCGATATAAACTGTGCGTGGGTGTCATTTACCCACAGCGATATAAACTGTACGTGGGTGTATCATTAGAATCATTCAAAGATCTTAACTCTATTCGGTGGTATATTTTTATTACCATATAAATTCAATGAGTAAATACATGTACATAGATGAAATAGCATCATAAGCATTGTTTACACTGCTATGTTGATACAGTGACAATACAGCACCAGTCTTAGTGAAAGCCCTATCCTATTGTTTTTCTATATTTACAATGAGAAAAATATATTTGTTTTTAAATTACAACTAATATGCTAATTAATGCAATCATGTCCAGAGTAGGTACGCTGCCCACGTAATCGTTACTTCCGGTCAAGCTCATAGCAGGTAATAACATGTGACCCAAACAACCGGTCAAATCAACAACACCAAGTTAAGCCTCTTCCGGTCAGATTCACAGTATGTACATGTCCCTAACATCCGGTCAGTTCCATGGTACTTTACAATATCACTGATATATCTTAAGGAATTAACATAACTGTCTATTTTACATGTACACTTAAATTTGATATTGCACAGTGATTTCAAACATTCTTGTGATAAGACATCAAGTACAAGGTAAACTACCAAACGCTATTTAAGATATCATAGATAATGAGTGACAACTTCGGCTTTCATTCCTGTAAAATACTTATCGCATGTCAATATACAAATCACACTACCAATACAGTAATGTCTAAATGTTTTCCACTTTAAATACAAAACCATTTTACACGTTCTGCTACAGTCGTGAAAAGTAAGCTACAAAAGTGGGCAGGAAAACAGTCAATTCTCTATAAAATATTGAATTGAAACAATAATGACGTCATGGCAAGGTTATGCTCTATTTTGTTTATCCGTCATCGCGATTTGGAACTCTTTTTATACGTAGGGGATTTTAAAACATTTGTAACAAACAATGGTTTTAAATACTGAATACTTGATGGCCTCATAGAGATTAAATTTAAGGGGAAAATACATCTACAGAGTATCAATACATCAATCGATAAAACCTCGGTGAGACACACGGAAGGCCATACTGTGGAGCCTGGCGACTTTGTAAGGTCCATTGGCCACCGAGTAGGGTGATCGTGGCCACAGAAAAGTATGCATCGATACATTTAGACATGGCCAAGTCCTGGTAGCCTTATTTCTCTGCCCTCGTGTGATATTCACGGAAATTGTATTGTTCCCTCCGTCACACATTTGTTTCACCATGAGGATAATGCCTGAAAGTAAAGGTATTTACACATGCTGTGATATTATATTTCGTTCTGTTAAGCAGCACCATTGGCGTTTGTCAAGTGATATCCTTGTGAGTTTATTAGCTGCCACCATCCTGCCTTCAGTGGTCTTCAAGTATAAGTTACTGTTGGTTCATGATGAATGTTGATACCCTGGGGGTTCAGTGTGTTATTCTCATGAATCAGTGAACGCCTCTCACGGGACAGTGTTTGTGGTCAATGTGCATGAGAGTACCAAAATTTTCCCAGAGTTCATTGCGGCAATCGCCATTTTGGGCGTAAGGAAAGACAACTCTGATAGAGAGTTACTCCCAAATCTTACACATACAATAATTGAATCTAGCGATTAACATTCCATTCGAATGTTATAGAGATCCATCCAAATTTGTACTTGAATGTTTAAAGTCTTATGGGAATGGAAATTAATCAGTAAATGTAGGCATTAGAAATAAACAACAACTAGTTTAATACTTCACCCGATTACTCCAATAAATATCATACCATGGCTAGCATTGTAAGTTATCGAGTATCACATTTTAAAGCTAAATTTCCGATCTTATGTACGTTATACTATAACAATTATCGATAGATATGTTCTGTTGGTAATCTTGGAATAACTCGTTAACAGTATTAGAAATAAGAATAACATTGTACACGTTGTAAAACCTCGTTAATTTGAGTTGCATGTATTTACAATACAAATATATGTTATCGCCTGTCGAAGTTACGATGTATGTTTGTACAGGAGTGTAAACATTTTCATAATGTTCGGCTTTGAGTCTCTGAAACACAGGAACCTATACAGCTGTCAAAAACAATCGTCTATGTATATATATCTATTGAAAACATCAGTGGACGACGACAAACTTGAACTAGCCATATTTTTTTATGATTTAAGTTAGTTAAAACCTTCTGTTATTTAGAAGCATTGTACGTGAACATGAACACCTACGTTACTATAATTTCACCATAAGGAGTCGTCCTGCATATCTAGAAAGGTCAGGCCCGGTTAAATCTGATTTCCGTTTCAGTCGTCTTGGGGTTTGTACAATGAACAGAGAAAAGATGACCTTTCGAGGACCAAAGATTAGGAACAAGCCCTTTGGGATCCAAATGGATGTGATAATGATGTCAGTCTTACAGACGATATACCCAATAGATAGCATGATGATCGGCCAACTAGCAACAAGGCCAGATTCATCTAATTTAACCCTTATTTACAGCACTGGAGCTTTCTGTCTTGGTGACGTGGTCAGGCGAACACACAAAATCAGCGAATATGGCCGAAATGAATCATCAACGAAAATAGTGTAATATATACGAAAACAGGTTGCCTTATCTTAGCAGTGGTTTATTCCGCCTGACCTGTCATGATTTGTCGCTAAACGTGTCAGGTTTTTTTTTTTTTTTTTGACACTACTCACATTTAGTCTACTTCACCCGATATTTGGGTCCTACACCTCTACAGTGTAGCCCGTATATCAAACAACCCTGTCATAATGGCAGCGCAACAGAGTACCAATATCTGTTTCTGCTACTTCTGTTTAAGTCAGTAGAGAAAGTCGTGAGGTGGAAGGGTCGTTCTGTGTTGCTTTGTTTTCACAGTAATATCTTCGTGGTCCCCCTCTCCTTCCGTAGCGTTCATTATTTCGGAAAATAAGTCAAGAGTTTCTTTTGTAGAGAGCACACGTTCTTGACTTCTCGAACTTCCACCATAAACATTGCGGTCAGCATCGCCTTCACTTTCTCCCGCCCTTTCCATGACACTCATGTACAATCGTCTGCGTTGCTCGTTGGCAAGGAAATCTATTTCAATAACCCTAGTCACGACTGCCTGACTCTTCCGCCATACATTGAACTCCTTATCTATGGGAGTATACCTCTCAGCTGTCACTGTAATAGTGATGTAGGCCTTTCCCCCTCGCATCACAAGGTCAATGTTTTCGTTAACCGAATCAAAGTTGTTGGCGCCCTGCTGGGTGGAGCTGCCGTCTGCGTGCATAAAGCGCGCGTCGCCATAGATATCCTCGTTATGGTGTTGTACGTCGATGTGCTGTCTGATGTCCTTCACGTCGATGTTAGAGAGTTTAGATAACAGAAGTTGACTCGTCAAGTGCTGTCGGGCTGCTTGGGGTGGGTCTTTTTTGACTGAAATCATAAAATAGTAGTTGAAGTGAAATGACATCAAATTCTTCAGAACAACATAAATTGAAAGATATCTTATGGATACAATTAGAAAGTTGAAGCAGATAAAGGTTTTCTTTCACGTCCATGGAACACATTATCTATATTAGTGAATGTGTACGGAAATGTGATAACCTGCATCCGATCATTCTGGTCCGTTTGTATATCACCATGCACAAAAATGGATTTAAATTGAAATACCGAGATGTACTAAGAATACGCGTTACAGTGTAAAAAGTCATTATTATCCAATGACTTCGCTAGGGTCCGAACCCAGAACAACTAGCTTACTAATCTGACGTTCTGCTAACGACATAGAGAGAAATTCTCCATAGACGAATCAGATGGGAGCGGCTAGTGTTTTACCAGGATATACTGGTACCTCTCTGCCAGGAAAGAAGTGAATCTCGATGCCTATGGAGTAGGATTTAGCTAATATTGACCTGACTCTTAATTACACATAAGAACTAATATTACAAAGCTAATTATTTTTATTGTATGAATTGTCTATTATGGGCATCGAACCCAAAAAAATTCTGATTCACAAAGAGAGATTTTAGGCGTTAGGCCAGTATCTTAACACATCAGGTCCACAATATCTACCTGGTTATCAATACATATAGAAACATCCTGATCGATACTCGCAAGAACACGCGACATAAGTGTTTGTGCAAAGCTTCTTAGGTGAACTTGGAATGGTGGGAAATAAATTACATTACCGTTCGCGTGCTTTAATTGTTTACGTTTGGTTAGCATTTAACAGAAAATTAGAATAGGGAGGGAGAGTGACGGGGAGGGGGGATACACTCAGTAATTGGTATAACGATTGTTAATTTGGAAGAAAACACTCAAAACAAGAACGGTTAATTCTAGCACTCCTGTGGTAAATTGGTGAGAACGAGCGACAGTAATGTACCGCTATTTTAATATGAATTGATGTCGAAAGATTGTAGTCGGATCTGGAGTATGACTAATGTGGACGATCCAGTTCTAAGTGAACTAAGACTGTGCTTAAAACCACAGTAGGACAGCGTGAATGCAGATCAATGTGATGAGGAACGGCCCCATCAAATAGTGAATTGTTAAAACAAACGGGAAAAAATTCAACAGCTTCGATATACCAGGACAACAATGTCAACAGCTTCGATATACCAGGACAATAATTTCAACAGCTTCGATATACCAAGACAGAAATTACGATAGCTTCGATATACCAGTGCAGAAATTGCGATAGCTTCGATATACCAAGACAGAAATTACGATAGCTTCGATATACCAAGACAGAAATTACGATAGCTTCGATATACCAAGACAGAAATTACGATAGCTTCGATATACCAAGACAGAAATTGCGATAGCTTCGATATACCAGGGCAGAAATTACAATAGCTTCGACATACCAAGACAGAAATTTCAACAGCTTCGATGTACCAAGAAAGAAATTACAACAGCTTCGACATACCAAGACAGAAAATTCAACAGCTTCGATATACCAAGACAGAAATTACAACAGTTTCGATATGCCAGGGCAGAAATTACAATAGCTTCGATATACCAGGACAGAAATTTCAACAGCTTCGATATACCAGGAGAGAAATTACAATAGCTTCGATATACCAAGACAGAAATTACAACAGCTTCGACATACCAAGACAGAAATTACAATAGCTTCGACATACCATGACAGAAATTTCAATAGCTTTGACATAGAGGGACAAAATTCAAGAGCTTCGATATACAAGGACAAAATGCATACAATATTTATCATCATGACAAAGTTGCTTCCGTAGTATCTAAATGTAAATACCAAAAATAACAAGGAAACAACACAAAGAGGGTCAGTATTACAACGCCAACACTATCATCGAACCGGAACAGAAATTACCGATAGGAAGACAGCGTTACACACCTTAAAGTCACTCCTGATTTGTAACTAATGAAACCCTCATTATCAATATTTGTGATAAAATGCTATCGTTCACGACATCAAGTGTTATAAAGAAACCATTTTTGTTTGTTGGCCGGTCTGTGACCTTCTACACCTTAAATATGTGACATTTGCAATGCTTTTCACAGTCAGTATGTCTTTTTGCTCACACATGTCAGTAACAGTCAATATCTTCTCAATAAATGCATGTTATTGACTCTGGAGAATGACCTCCCCAGTCACATGCAGTATCAGGTGTATACCTTGACTGGCCAGCGCCTTTATTCCCGGTCATCGTTCTACATGAAATGCTTTAGACGATTCGTTATGCTTGATGACAAACCAGCGCCATTTTGAGAGGACAGTCCGTTTTCTGGTATAATGTAGAATAACGCACGAAAACAAAACTAGAAACGCGTGCAAAAAAGTACCACCAATCCACACTTAGCTGATGTCATAGCATTGAATAGAAGCGCAGAGGTTATTTGTCAATATTACCGTGTTTACCAAATTAATTATTTATCTTATTTCAATGTTAAGAGTGTAATGTCTAATATAGTCTTCTCATAATCAAGTAAGTGGTACACATCAGCGTTATTTTTTAAGGCATAAAGTAAGACTTTTTAGGTAACCGATACTATCTATAAAGTTTGTTGTGATCAATTCCGGGTTGTTATCTGGATACCGCTCCGCCATGTTACTTCAGTGTTTCCGGTCTACAGATGCACATGTCGGTCCAAATCATATTAAAATTTCCGTGTCCAGACACTACCAGACTGAAAATGATTCCTCGTAAATTTGTTTTGTGAACGATTAAACCTCAATCGATAATTTGGTTTGGGAAAATTCACACACACGTATATGAGTATTTTCATAGCGTTATTTCCCGGGATACTCATTGAAGAGTCTGCCGAAGGTAAAATGTAATTATTTTTGCAAGTGAACATTAAACGTCATAAACACGCGGACTTGACATCAGTGTAATTGTTTAACACTTGTTAAATATTACACACATGCCGAGATCCCTTGGATAGGTTCGTCTCTAAAACTGTAATGATAAATAAAAACAACATTCCAGTAGTTAAAAAAATAATGATAATTTATTACCGACCTTTGGACGAGTTTTGTTCCTGTTCAAGTATGGACTAATTCCTAACCGAAAGTATACCCTATAGACCGTGTACAACACAGAAATTCTAGAATCCTGAACCCCCTAAGCACATGTTTAGTTCACCCACACAAGTAAGATGAATGTAGTATAATGATTTCGAGGGTTTCTGCCGAGGAAGGGTGACGTTTTTACATCGACCAACCTGTAGCAAATTGTATTGATCAGGAGACTGTTAATTACACAACAGTGGCCTGTTGGTCCTCAATTAGTTTCTTAACGTTCCTGCTGGAATTAATGAGTTGTACTCAGGAGACTGACATAAATGTTCAGTACCTTTATCGCCGTCCTCGGTACATCAGCGTGTGAGGACATTTCACTACTTCCCTTGTACGATTTTCGTACTCGGGTCCGACTATGTGAGACATCAGATATCAGTGTCTAGTCTGTGTGAGACATCAGGTATCTGTGTCTAGTCTGTGTGAGACATCAGACATATGTGTCCGGTCTGTGTGAGACATCAGATATCTGTGTCTGGTCTGTGTGAGACATCAGATATATGTGTCTGGTCTGTGTTAGACATCAGATATCTGTGTCTGGTCTGTGTGTGACATCAGATATCAGTGTCCGGTCTGTGTGAGACATCAGATATTTGTGTCTGGTCTGTGTGAGACATCGGCTATCTGTGTAAGATCTGTGTGAGACATAAGATATCTGTGTCTGGTCTCTGTCAGACATCAGATATATGTGTCCGGTCTGTGTGAGACATCAGATATATGTGTCCGGTCTGTGTGAGACATCAGATATATATGTCTGGTCTGTGTGAGACATCAGATATCTGTGTCTGGTCTCTGTGAGACATCAGATATCAGTGTCCGGTCTGTGTGAGACATCAGATATTTGTTTCTGGTCTGTGTGAGACATCAGATATCTGTGTCTGGTCTGTGTCAGACATCAGATACATGTGTCCGGTCTGTGTGAGACATCAGATATATGTGTCTGGTCTGTGTCAGACATCAGATATCTGTGTCTGGTCTGTGTGAGACATCAGACATATGTGTCCGGTCTGTGTGAGACATCAGATATATGTGTCTGGTCTGTGTGAGACATCAGATATCTGTGTCCGGTCTGGGTAAGACATCAGATATATGTGTCCGGTCTGTGTGAGACATCAGATATATGTGTCTGGTCTGTGTCAGACATCAGATATCTGTGTCTGGTCTGTGTGAGACATCAGACATATGTGTCCGGTCTGTGTGAGACATCAGATATATGTGTCTGGTCTGTGTGAGACATCAGCTATCTGTGTCCGGTCTGGGTAAGACATCAGATATATGTGTCCGGTCTGTGTGAGACATCAGATATATGTGTCTGGTCTGTGTCAGACATCAGATATCTGTGTCTGGTCTGTGTGAGACATCAGATATATGTGTCCGGTCTGTGTGAGACATCAGGTATCAGTGTCTGGTCTGTGTGAGACATCAGATATATGTGTGTCTGGTCTGTGTCAGACATCAGATATCTGTGTCCGGTCTGGGTAAGACATCAGATATATGTGTCCGGTCTGTGTGAGACATCAGATATATGTGTCTGGTCTGTGTCAGACATCAGATATCTGTGTCTGGTCTGTGTGAGACATCAGACATATGTGTCCGGTCTGTGTGAGACATCAGGTATCTGTGTCTGGTCTGTGTGAGACATCAGATATATGTGTCTGGTCTGTGTGAGACATCAAATATCTGTGTCCGGTCTGGGTAAGACATCAGATATATGTGTCCGGGCTGTGTGAGACATCAGCTATCTGTGTCTGGTCTGTGTGAGACATCAGATATTTGTGTCTGGTCTGTGTGAGACATCAGATATTTGTGTAAGGTCTGTGTGAGACATCAGATATCTGTGTTTGGTCTGTATGAGACATTAGATATATGT